AAAAAAGAAAACTGCGGATCCTGAAATATGTCCAAAATGTAAAAAAGGAAAACATTGAGCTAATCAGTGTCACTCTAAGTTTGATAAAAATGGGAACCCAATTTCGGGAAACGCAATGAGGGGCCCGTCCCGGGCCCCATTCTAAACCGGGGCATTTCCAGCTCAGGCCATTCCCTCACCCCTGTACAATGTCTGTCCTCTGCCACAGCCGGTAGTGCCGCAGTAGATTTATGCTGCACAAAAGCTGTGAGCCTTCTGCCTGGGGAACCCCCGCAAAAGCTCCCAACAGGAGTCTGTGGACCCTCGCCAGCAGGGACAATAGGATTACTTTTAGGAAGTTCTAGTTTGAGTTTAAAAGGGGTACAACTGGTGTGATTCCATCCTGCGGGGCTGTTCCCTGGAGCAGCGTTCGTTTATCTCCATCCGCCTTCTCTCCCACCTAAGTGCATGCAGCCACCTGATGGAAGATTTGATGGACATGAACATGAGCCCCCTGAGGCCCCAGAACTATCTATTTGGTTGTGAACTAAAGGCTGACAAAAATTATCAGTCTAAGGTGGATAATGATGAAAATGAGCACCAGTTATCTTTAAGAATGGTCAGTTTAGGGGCTGGTGCAGAGGATGAATTGCACATTGTTGAAGCAGAGGCAACGAATTACAAAGGCAGTCCAATTAAAGTAACACTGGCAACTTTGAAAATGTCTGTGCAGCCAACGGTTTCCCTTGGGGGCTTTAAAGTAACACCACCAGTGGACTTAAGGTTGAAGTGTGGTTCGGGGCCAGGGCATATTAGTGGACAGCACTTAGTAGCTGTGGAGGAAGATGCAGAGTCAGAAGATGAAGAGGAGGAGGATGTGAAACTCTTAACTGTATCTGGAAAGCGGTCTGCCCCTGGAGGTGGTAGCAAGGTTCCACAGAAAAAAGTAAAACTTGCTGCTGATGAAGATGATGATGAGGATGATGATGATGATGATGAAGATGATGATGATGATTCTGAAGATGAGGAAGCTAAAGAAAAAGGGCCAGTGAAGAAATCTGTATGAGATACTCCAGCCGAAAATGCACAAAAGTCAAATCAGAATGGAAAAGACTCAAAACCATCATCAACACCAAAATCAAAAGGACAAGAATTCTTCAAAAAACAGGAAAAAACTCCTAAAACACCAAAAGGACCTAGTTCTGTAGAAGACATTAAAGCAAAAATGCAAGCAAGTATAGAAAAAGGTGGTTCTCTTTGCAGAGTGGGAGCCAAGTTCATCAATTATGTGAAGAATTGCTTCTGGGTGATTGATCAAGAGGCTATTCAAGATCTCTGGCAGTGGAGGAAGTTTCTTTAAGAAAATAGTTTAAACAATTTGTTAAAAATTTTCCTTCTTATTTTATTTCTGTAACAGTTGATATCTGGCTGTCCTTTTTATAATGCAGAGTGAGAACTTTCCCTGCCATGTTTGATAAGTGTTGTCCAGGTTCCATTGCCAAGAATGTGTTGTCCAAAACCCCTGTTTAGTTTTTAAAGATGGAACTCCACCCTTTGCTTGGTTTTCAGCATGTATGGAATGTTATGATAGTACATAGTAGTAGCGGTGGTCAGACGTAGAAATGGTGGGGAGACAAAAATATACATGTGAAATAAAACTTAGAATTTTAATAAAGTAAAAAAAAGGGGGGGTACAAATACATACAGGAGTCATTGATTCAGATTACAATGGGGAAATTCAAATTGTTATATCTACTTCTATTCCCTGGAAAGCAGAGCCAGGAGAGCGCATAGCATAGCTCCTGATTGTGCTGTATGTGGGAATGGGAAAAAGTGAAATTAAACTAACAGGAGGATTTGGAAGCACAAATAAACAAGGCAAAGCAGCTTATTGGGTAAATCAAATTACTGATAAACGTTCTACCTGTAAAATAACTATTCAAGGAAACAAATTTAAAGGTTTGGTAGATACAGGAGCGGACATTTCAATCATTTCTCTACAGCACTGGCCATCCACATGGCCAATTCAACCCTCTCAATTTAACATAGTTGGAGCTGGTAAAGCTGCTGAAGTATATCAAAGTAGTTATATTTTGCATTGTGAGGGGCCTGATGGACGACCTGGGACTATTAAACCAATTATAACTTCTGTACCTATAAATTTATGGGGAAGAGATTTATTACAACAGTGGGGAGCACAAGTTCTAATTCCAGAACTATTGTATAGCCCTCAAAGTCAACATACAATGCGTGAAATGGGGTATGTCGCTGGTATGGGACTAGAGAAAAATTTGCAAACTTTGAAAGAACTACTTCAAGTGGAAAATCAAAGTTCCCACCAAAGATTATGAAATAATTTTTGATGGTGGCCATTATTAAGCCTCCAGAACCTATACCTTTAAAATGGTAAACAGATAAGCCAATTTGGATAGAACAATGGCCACTAAGTAACAAAAAACTGGAGGCTTTAGAGAAATTAGTTACTGAACAATTAGCAAATGGGCACAGAGCTCCAACATTTTCTCCTTGGAATCTTCTAGTTTTCATAATTAAGAAAAAATCAGGAAAATGGAGAATGTTAACTGACTTAAGAGCCATCAATTCAGTTATCAACCTATGGGAGCATTACAGCCAGGATTGGCTTCTCCTGCTATCATTCCAAAAAATTGGCCTTTAATAGTAATAGATTTAAAAGATTGTTCCTTTACTATCCCTTTAGCTGAGCAAGACTGTGAACAGTTTGCATTTACAATTCCTCCAGTAAACAACCTGCGGCCAGGTAAGTGTTATCACTGGAAAGTGTTGCCACAGGGCATGTCAAACAGCCCAACAATTTGTCAGATGTATGTGGGGCAAGCAATTGAACCTACTCGTAAAATATTATGTTATCATTGGAAAGTGTTGCCACAGGGCATGTCAAACAGCCCAACAATTTGCCAGACATATGTGGGGAAAACAATTGAACTTACTCATAAAATATTTTCACAGTGTTGCACTATTCACTATATGGATGATATACTTTTTGCTGTCCCCTCTCGAGAAATATTACTCCAATGTTATGATCACTTGCAAAATTCGATTTATCACGCTGGTGTAATTATAGCTCCTGACAAAATTCAGGCTACTACTCCTTACTCTTACTTGGGGACCTTAGTAAATGACACTACCATTGTGCCACAGAAAGTAACCATATGTAGGCCGGGCACAGTGACTCACGCCTGTAATCCCAGCACTTTGGGAGGCTGAGATGGGCGGGTCCCGAGGTCAGGAGATCGAGACCATCCTGGCAAACATGGTGAAACCCCGTCTCTACTAAAAATACAAAAATGAGCAAGGCATGGTGGCGGGCGCCTGTAGTCCCAGCTACTCAGAAGGCTGAGGCAGGAGAATGGCGTGAACCCAGGAGGCGGAGCTTGCAGCGAGCTGAGATTGCGCCACTGCACTCCAGCCTGAGCGACAGAGCAAGACTCTGTCTCAAAAATAAAAAATAAAAAATAAGGTAACCATACATAGGGGTCAACTAAAAACATTAAATGACTCTCAAAAATTACTAGGAGATATTAATTGGATACGACCTGCTCTAGGCATTCCTACCTATGCCATGAGTAATCTATTTTCTATCCTTAGAGGAAATCCTAGTCTCACCAGCCCTCAGCAATTAACAAAGGAGGCTAAGGTCAAGTTACAGCTGATTGAAAAGCAAGTCTATAAAGCTCAGATAAATAGAATAAATCCAGAGAAGACTCTAGATTTGCTAATTTTTTCAACTCAGCATTCACCTACTGGTGTTATTGTCCAAGAATAGGACTTAGTAGAGAGACTTTTTCTTCCACATACTAATTCACGGACTCTAACTCCTTATTTAGATCAAATTGCTACTATGATAGGGATTGGGAGAACTCAGATTGTTAAATTACATGGATATGAGCCTGGAAAAATTATTGCCTCTCTCACGAAGGCACAAATACAGCCAGGTTGTTTTTTTTTTTTTTTTTTTTTTT